AACTTGCGATCCTCCTGCCACAGCCTCCCTAGGCACTGGGATTACAGGCGAGTGCCACCACACCCGGCCTGACTCCCTTTAGTTAAGGTCCAGTCCTTTGTCCACACGTGGGTCTTTCCCCGTCAGCCTCAAAAAAAATCAACCCTATCCTAATAGTATACACCAAGTATCCAAACACCTACCATGTCAAAATAAATAAATAAACAAACCAAAGAAAGAAAGTTGTTTTCATCCTTCACAGACAGTAGCTTGTAAGAATAGAGAAAATGTTTCCCTAGTTTTCTTTTTGTTTGCCTTTGTGGCCACCTTGGATTTTTCTCACTTCCCTAAGGTAGACAGAACTTCAACACTGTCCTGAAGGAAATGATGACAGGTAGGTCCAGCTGCTCTTTTATAACCTAGAAACATTCTATGTAAACTTTGTTTTATGTATGTAAGAAAACCTACATTATATCCATAAAATGAATAAACTCTTATCTGGAGCTTGGGTTATGAATCTGTATAACTGAAGAGATATGGATTAAAATGTGATAAACAAAAAGTTTCACAACCTCAGCCCTACTGACATTTTCGGTCAGATAATTCTTTGTTTATTATAGCTGCATCCCTGGCCTCTATCCACTAGATGTTTATAACGCAGGTGCAAGCACACACAAACATACCCTAGTTGGAACTATCAAAAATGTCTCCAAACATTGTCAAATGTATCCTGGGAGTCAAAATCTTCCCTAGGTAAGGACTACAGCTTGCAAAATGGGTCATTTTATCTCTCTACTAATGGAAATATGTATTTTTCATGCATACAGGTTTTTTGAGTTTTAGAATGTATTAATATCATCTCTTGTAATGAAAAGAATTTTGTTTGCAATGCCAGTGGCAAAGTAGAGAAAAGCTATGTGACATGCAAAATCATATTCTGAAATAGGTAACATAAAGAACACTAAAAACACAGCTACATTCAGCAAAGATAAAAATATAAACATAGTATATGCATGCATTGACCCTTAAGTTATGAATATTTTCCCTATTTTTAAAATAACTTCAGATAACCCTCAGCAGAGTTTGGAACTGAAACTATCCAAAAATTTTACTCCAAACTAGTTATACATTTGGGAAAAAATATTTACCATACTATATATTTGGATACAATCTCACCATAATAATTTTATAATTCAGTACCATTGTTTAAGAAAAAATGCTGGCAGGCTGCCTGTACTAACAATATTAAAATGTTGAATATATGTGTTTCTGTGAAGGTTAACAGACAATTTCCATTGTATTCCAAAAAAGGAATGAGAAAAACTGGTGAAGTTAGAACCTACTATCATAACAATGTTAATACCGGATACCAGATCCCTATTACCTTGACATCTACTTGGTAATGTGAATGATAATTATTCAGGAGGAAAATAAAGCTAAAATATATTTTGAGGCTTTGTAACCATTCTGATTAAATTTGCATTTGTGCCCACCTGCTGGAAATTACTTCAAATTTAAGTTACTCAAACACTATTCTTTTTCATGTACATATAATAGTTTCATTGAAAAAAAGCTATAGCTGCATTTTACTTTTTATTCCATTTTAGATATATATGACTGGACTGAATATATTTAAGTGTAATTGAATAACCAAAGGATAAAAACATTCTTTTCTAGCTCAGATAGGTCAATCTGTCATTGCAATAAAAAAAATGAATTCACACTTAAAAAAAATAGGTTAATGGAATAGAAATTTGTCTTCCTGCTTTCTGCTGCCCTCTCTCCTCCAGCCCACTGTGCCAGAAGACATTTCAAGTGCAATTCCCCTGAAAGCTGTAGATTTAATAGGCTAATGGGTGGTTACTACTCTTGTTACCAGGATGATTCTATTCCACCTCTATCTACAAAAATCTTTTTGTTGGTGGTGCTTCTACACAATTACCTGCCATTAAAGTGCATGTGTTGTGGTGGTGGCGGGGGGTGTGGGAATCCAGTGACACAGTCACTAGAAGAACAAGCTGGACTGATTTCTGTAACAATTTCCCAAGTATTTCTTCCCATTTTCAGAATTAAAAATCAGACAAAAATGCTTCTCTATAGTTTTGATGAAAAAATGAGCAATAAATTGTGAAATGCTAAGCCAAATGAACTCATTACTGTGTTACAAAATAATTTAACACACACCAATATATTAGCTGTGCAATCAAAAATATAGTGATATCACAATATATACAAACCCAATTGGCTTATGCTAATAAGTAATAAAACATAAAAGATGCCAAAGCATCGGGGTCTTTGAAGAAAAGCCAAATACCTTCACCACTCCCCAGAAATACCATTTCCTCAACCCTTCTGACATATATATAAATTCCCTAAGCACAAAGAAATCCAGAATTTATTTTTATTCTTTTATGAAGTTAGTTAAAAATTAATGAACAAGAAATTAAAGTGAAGGTGCTGTAATAAAGTTAGAATATTCTAACTGAAAAACAATTACAATGAAACTATTTACACTCCCATGGAATTATAGACATTTTTCAAGGGATATTTTGCAATACAATTTTTTAAACAATGTTTTCTTCTTCTTACTCTTGAGACTTAAACACTGAAGGTTTACTCCATTTTTTTAAAATACACTTATTAAAGTAAGATTTGACTTTCCCAGAAAAAGAGCTTTATCATTTAAAGTAGCATGTTGACTGCTTAGATTTTTCTTCCAATACATCTGTGTAGGCCTCGTCTTTCAACTAAGAGGATAAGTTTTCAATAATATGAAATTGACAGAAAATTGTGTTGGAATGGTAGTAGTATTTAATTCTGGGAACTGAACCAGTGAGACTTCACAGATACACAGATCTTTGTACAGAACTGGAAAAATATCAACAGTTTGTCCATGGGCTCCATGCTTTTCTATTTTTACAGTTCTTATCACCTTCGCCTCAAAATTAAATTAAAACTTCACAGAAATGAAAGCAGTAAGTTTCAATTCTTACCCTGAAAGAATTTTTTTTAATTAAAAAAAGTTACTTTCCTAGTTATAGATACTTAAATAAACAAAAACTCTTAACTGTGAAATAACTTTAGGGGCTTCCCTACAAAAAATCCCCTCTGTAGCGGCTGGCTCAGACTTGACAAACTCGCTGAATTGTGCAGATGTTGAAGTGGCTCTGGGTTACACTGGGGAAGAAAGAAGCACCAGACATTCCACAGCTGCCTCCAAGAGCTCCCTTCCCAGGGGCACAGTTGCAGGCTCTATCAAGCTCAATCACTTTGTACAGCAACTGGGGATCCCAGCCAGGGGCAAAGAAATCCCAGAGCAGCTTAAATTTCCCCCAGTACCACAGCAAGAAGTAACACTACTTAGAGTAACCAGTTATTTCCAACAATTATGTGGCCTTAGGCCAAAAAAGAATGAGAAAGAACAGCTGTTGTTAGAGAAGATGTTTCATAGTTTTATATTTCAAGCTACTTACAGGAGATCTTCCTAGGGTCTTTATTATGGAAAAAAACTATGAATAGTTGATCTTTATTCTTGATGGATTTTTTTTTTCTTCAGGTAGTAGGGAGAGAATAGTCAAGTTGAAGAATCATAGAATTTTACAGTTAATTCAATAATTATAATACAGTGACCATAGGGCTTTAAAGGGATGGAATGTATATGACAGTAATATTATTTCAAAGGTACTACACTCTTCCGTTTTACCTATCTCATGAGTTCTCTCAAATATTTTGAAGACTAAAATAACTATTAATGAAATGGTGTGACTAAAAATAAACAGCCAAAGAATATTCTTTGCTACATAAGGTAACTGATGCCATGGCAGATGTCATTTCCTTAGGATGACCAGAAAGGGAGAGCTATAATGAAAAGCTCCACCAAATATAGAAATATTCAAGCACTGTGCTAAATTACACTTACGCCTTCCAATGATATTATCCCCATTTTATAGATGAAGAAATTAACTTATAAGATCATTGAACCAATAAATGATACAGCCCAGAATTTAAATTTTTTTACTCTAAAGTCCATGATCTTGTTATTAGGATTTTACTGACTGTGTTGCAATGTCACTTGTACGTTAATTCAGAACATCTTAAGTAATTTTCAAATCAATTTAAAAGGTGTATATCATGTCATTCAATTGTTCTAGTCGAGAAAAACAGCTTCTCTACATGAGATATTAGTTAAATCTCACCTTTTGCTTATGATTCCTTTTTCTTCTCTACTACTGACTTTTTAATGGTCAGAAAAAAGGCATTTCAACTTAGAGGGTTAATACTAATAAATTCCCCAAATGTTGTTATATCCTAATAATCCTAAATTTCAGATGCCTATCTTTTCTGTTTTAGGTTGATTCTCAAAATTGTAAGTGGATTAGCCAGTAGGTCATTCTGTGTCACACAACAGATACTGAGGCATCTGAACACTACACCAGGCCTGAGAATTTACAGTAAGAAACCTTTCATTTCATATTGATGCTAAAAATATCAGTAAAGAAGACTTCAAGCCTCAAAAGGCCTGTGTTTATAGCTCATCAGCATTCCTCCAAAACAATGGGACACACTACAGCAAGGAGGAAGAAGAGGCAGAAGTTGATGACATATGGGGTGTGCATGGAACTTCTGGTTAATGGAAGTTCCAAGATGTATAAATAAAAAATGATGTGTGAGTTGGTGGAAAAAACTGTAAGGCAAGTCAATTTTTTAATTAAAAAATTATGTAGCATAAACAATGCTAATGAGCCAAAAGTCCTAAGAGATTAGGACTGTATCTGCTTCATTTTAATGTTCCATTCACTTTTTGTAAGCGAACATCCACTCGCTTGAAATACCTCAAGCAGAACCCTTTATGTAAAATAGGGTTTTGAAGATTTTCTTTGTCCTTGTTCCTAATAGCTCACCATTTTCTACTCAAGTGTCAACTTGATGACAAATTACACACACACACACACACACACACACACACACGCATGTGCAAAAAGAGCCCAAATATCTTAAATGAATCACCAGATAATAAATACCTGGAAGTTCCTCATAAATTTCATCGTCTATTGGCTGCCCACTTGTTGGTGGGTTGCTGATTGGTAGAGGATGCTCAACGTCATCATATAATTCTCCTTTTTCATCATAGTCCTCAGGAATAATATCAGATTCCATATCTAAAAAATGTTTCACGAAGCAAATTTTAAAGGGATGCAAAAGAGGCTTTATAAATTAAATTTCCTAAATAAACACAATCCTAAAAAGTGACAGTAATATTTTATGCATACTCTTCTTCATTTAAAACATTTTTCAAGTTGATCATTTTGTACATATGTGATTTTAAAGTTGCCAACTGGCACTTATGGAAAAGATGTTTTTATATATCTAAAGCAAATAGTCTATATATTAAACCAGTCATGTTCCCTTTATCATTCTCATTGAAGTCAATAAGCTTTTGTATATGAAAACCAAAACTACTCAGTTTTTTAGTATTTTAAGACCAGGATTACATGTTCGATTGATGCTCTTACCTTGTAATACAAATTTCAGCTGCTGTACCCATTCCTCAGCATCTTTGGGAGAAGCTGCTGTAAACTAATAAAAGAACCAACAATAAGAACACAAATCACCACCGTAGAAATGAAAAGTATGTCGCATTCTTATCATTTCTTTAAGACCATTAGTAATTCTTTTCATGTCTAGTGGTACTTTTCTTGCAAGGATGCTTCTTATAATGTACAGTTAATTTTGACAAATTTACGTAATTGAAGCAGAGGATGATGGATTTGAAACTCTGATCAGCAGCTGGCAGCTGTGCAGGAAAAAAAGCTGCTTCTCTTCATCAATGTCAAAGACAGAACTGATGAACAAAATTTGCCCTTGACAATTAGAAGACACCCATGAATTTCTTTAGACTGCTGGGTATAGTTTTCTTAAAAATGTTCTTGTCAGATTCCAACACACTACCTGACAACTTAATTAACTGGCTTTCAACTGCAATCTCAGATATTTAAAACTTATTAAACATACATTCCATATTGATGCCTAGCTGATAGCTCTTGAATTGCAGAGCTGATACGTGTCTTTATCTTCATTTTCTCCCACACCCCTAAGCAATACAATATGCATTACCACTCTAATATTTTTCCTTTGATAATTTCACTCTTTCTGCTATGTAATTCTTTTAGGAAATCATACAGCTCTATTAAAATAGATATAAAATGCTACATGTAAAGCAATTGATAAATTATATATTCACTTCCTCCTTTTCAAGAAGATATCACTTGAAGTAATCTGAATTTTTTAAAATGTATTTTCTCTTATATGAATGTCCAATGTACAAAAACCAGTATTTTTTTATTATTACTAACATGTCAGTGAGCGCTGTTTTAACAAACTGTTAATGTCTCTATAAATGAGACTAGAACATCTTATCAACTTAATTTCAAGGCAACACAAAAACGCCAACCTGATAGATCCGTTTATCAGGAGCAGAGATTTCAAAGCAGCAATCTTTCTTTGCATCCTTCCTAAGAGTGTTATTCATTCTGACATCATAGCCATCTATTGCAAATTCACCTTTCTGTTGCTTGTCTGTTGAAGATAAAACCACAGTTAGAATTTCACTTACTACAGCAAATATAAATGTTCAGTCAATTTTCTTTTATATAGATTTTCTTTGTCAACTCTTAGAAAAGAGTAATTTTGGTCACATTGTTTTAGTAATGTAATGCTTAAATAACATTTCTACATATCATTTTTAATTCTAAAATACAGATATACTGGAGACAATTGCATCTAAAAAGGATATCTATGGGAACCAGAGATTGTGGTCTTGTTCATGAAGTGTGGATATAAGACCCTTGTATATAGGGAATATATAAGAACTAGAACTTAGAACTTGCTAGACAAACCCACTACCAACTCTGGCTCTTTCAGATTTAGAAAGTCAATGGAAAACTTGTCTAGTTGAAACTTTCTGGGTTTCATTAACCATTACCTCCTGTTACCAACCCCTTCCCACCATCAACATCAAAACAAAATATGTTTTCTTAAAAAACAAAACTTGGTACAAATGTAGCTCTAAATTTTAAATGCAAAGCAAAACAAAACTAATTACAAAAAAGCTATAATGTGAAAACAAAATACTTGGCTGGAGAAGGGTGGAAAAGTTTATAAGTCATAACAAAAATTGAGATTTATTAACCAGTCAATGCTAAACTAGTAGAAGCACAATTGAATCTAATGATAAATATTGAAAGAAAAGATGGTTGGAACTTTGGTCAGATATTATTTTAAAGACAAAATAGAAATGCAACAAAGAGTTTAGTACTCTAAAAATGAGAATAAAATTAGCTTTCCTACCTTACTTGGTTATGTTATTTTGATACAAAAGCTGTATAGTTCTAGGTTATTTCTCAGATAAACACATGGTACTCAAAGTATGAGTAGGGGACAAACTGTCTATTGTACTAGGCTCTGAGAAAATAGAGAATGATCTCATAACATGGGATAAAGGGGTCTCTCAGTTCAGTGCATCAAGGATGGAAATATATATGTGTATGTGTATCTCCTTTCCTTAAATAAACTAATTTAATTCCTGAAGTAACATATATTTTAAAAGATCATGAAGAGCCTATCATATTCAAACTGTTGAATAAAAAGAAATATGATTTAGAAATTCTTGACTTAAATCTGGACAATCTAATTGTATTTAGTCATAATTTATATATCTGAAAGACTAAAAAATTCAATTCAAAAATTTGAAGTTTGTCTACAATTAACTCTTTGAAGTTCACAAACTATACTTTTAAATTATAGCATTTCTTGAAGTGCATATTGATATGTTTCTATGATCAGGAAAGTTTGGGGAGATTTTTGCTGAATTAAACAAAGTTAAAAAGTTTTGTGGGGGGTGAGTTCAGATTAGATCAACATGTCCTATTTGGGATCTTTAGTAGATTTACATACTGACTGAATTTCTAAGAAAAATGTTTAGTATGCATCATTTCCAAAAATCATTCATCTATGGAACCCTTTTTAACAGAATATTTTATGGATCTAGTATGCCCAAAGTCTACTCTGCAAAATATTTAACCAGAGAAACATTGAGGGGAAAATATTAAAATAATAAATTGTTAAGAATGGTTGGTTCTAAAATTCTCTTTTAAAAAACTAACTAAAGCATTCATTCTCTCATTCAACAAATTTATAGTAAGCACTTTAAACAAGCCAGGTAGCATTATAACACTTTATCAGACATTTCTTACCTTCCCACTGAAATAGACACACACACACACACACACACACACTCAATCAATCAATCTCTCTCTCTCTCTCTCTCTCTCTCTCTCTCTCTCTCTCAACAAACAGTCAATGATCCACTAGACTGCAAAAGAAATTTAATTTCCATTACAAAAATGAAAATAATCTGAGGTAATATATCAAAACCATCCAGGACAATTTTGAAAGATTCCTTTATGCCCACCCCACCCCACTCCACCAAGAAAACGTGTTTTCAAGGAGCAGATATGGAGCAAGTCACTCTCCCCTCTGCCACACAAAGGTTCCATCTCTTCAGTTGCTAGGTCCATCTGATCTAAAGCCTGTGCTTTTTTCCTCTACTTCAGGTCTAAAATTCTTATCAGTGTAACACATGAAAGTGGAAATGCATAAGGAGTGGTAGTCTACATTTGGATACGTAAAGCTGGTTCTACAAAGACTGAGTTTAGAAAAGCCACGGGGAACAGGAGACCTTCCTACACTAGATTTTTAGGAAGCAATAAGATCAGGTGACCCTGATTTATACTAGCAGATACACCTTATACAAAATCCCCAGGAACACATTATAGGGCCATGCAGCAGATCTTCCATTAAAGTCTAAGAGGAGAACCAGAGAGAGACCATGAATGCTATTTATTATAAACATTACAGATTATACAGATAGGCCATTGTCCCAGGATAGGTAAAAGAAGAAAAGCAAACTAGCAGACAGGTGTCAGAAAGATATAATAAAAAAAATGTAAGATTTTGAGATGTAGAAATTATAAATAAAGTAGGAGAATCAAAGTAAACTTTAGCCATTGTTTAACATGTTTGTTTCTTTTTGGGGTTTTTTGTTTGTTTTTTATTTTACAGTACAATGCATTTTGACATACTGTACACAAATGGAGCACAATTCTCATTCCTCTGGCTGTACATGGTGCACAGTCACTCCAGTAGTGTAATCACACATGTATATAGGGTAATAATGTCTGTCTTATTCTACTGTCCTTCCCATCCCAATAGCCCTAACCCTCCCCTCACTCGCTTTACATCTTTTATAAAAGAAAAAATTCACATACAAGTTACAAAAGAGATAAAAGATGAAGTGACATAACATAAATAAAAAGGGCTGAGACAGGTAGAGATTGAAGTGAAGCCAGCAAAGCAAGGGAAAAACTATATAAAGGAATTGGAAAATGCAGTAGATAAATAAATGATGTATTAGAAGTGGAGTGATAAAAAGTAAAATTGACATTGCTGAAAACCAGATCATGTATACCTTGAAAAGCTCACTTAGCCTGTAGGAAAACAAGTAAAAGAGGATAGGGAGAAAAGGTAATACGATAGACATGGAGGACTGACAAAAATACAACATAAGGAAAAAGAGTGTTCTGGAAGATGAGTAACAAAACAGTGCCAATAATCAGACGAAACAGAAGAAAACTTCATTCTGCCAAAGACAGACCCAAGTCTGCAGAACAAAAGATGATGTTGTTTAACCAAGTGAAAGTAATAAAAAAGAAACTAATACTTAAACCTACTTGCTTGATTGGGGATAAAGAATCATATGAACAGCCAAGTGGGGTAGGGTGTGGGACCAGAAATGTTAAACAGAAGGAAATTCCTAACTCTTCCTCAATAGATTTGTAAAAGCATATTCATAAAGTAGCTTAGAGAGTCAAGGGTCCTATGTTTTTTCTCATATGTGTAAGGTAGAGAGGTAAAAGGAAAAGAAAAATGGGGGAGGGAATCTCATTAAAATAGAAGGGAGATCAGTAGAGTAGAAGAAAGGGACCAGGAAGAGGCAGGAAGGGAGTGAAAGGGGAAGTACTGGGGAATGAGATTGGCCAAATTATACTGTTATAGCATATGCATGTATGAATACAAAGCAAAAAATCCCACCATTATGTAGAATTATATTGCACCAATAAAACTATGAAAAAAGCATACAGTATGCAAATGTGAAAAAATAAAAATAAAAAAAATAAAGTAGCCATATTTCCCATTAGTCAACATGGTACAAGAAGTTCAAGGCATAAAATGGGAGACATGGCTATAATAAGACCTGCTCTTCTCCCTCACATCAGCTTCACTTCTGGGCAGAGAAAATTTCAACATTATATGATTATCCACAAAAATTTATATATACAGGTTAGTTCCAAGGGATTTTCTGAGATTGTTTCAAGAACATCTGTTGATTTGACACAGATTGTTAAAACCAGTTAAATGCCAACTGAATAGGAAACAAGGTATCTAGGTTCATTTACCTATAACTGTGAAAGACTAATAAAATAATTTATCTTAGTGAACTTCACACACAGCAGAAGCTTATTCCCTTAAGTGCCAAAACTTTTAAAAGTTTTAGTCATTGTGATGGAAATCTTTCTAAAATATATACTTCCTTAACTTCTCAAAATATGTGTTTTAAATGTAATTCAATGTTTCCTTGACAATCTAGCAGTTTCATTTTGAGTATTAGTTTTTATAGTATGCTATAACACACTGATGTCTGCCAGATGTTTGAGCTGTTGGCCCCCCTATTAAATTTTCCTTGGCTTCTACTTCACATTTCAACCTTGCCTCTATCCTATTGCTCAAGCTCAATGTCTACAGAGCTGGAGGCTGCCAGGAGAAACTAGAATGAAATCCATTACATCAGTAACTTAATTTTACACAATTCTAATTCAGTATGTTCCAAGGTAAAACCAGTTGGCTCCAATCTCCTCCAAAACATAACACACGAGGCTAATGACAAAAGATTTCCTTCTACTTGTCCACTGTCTTTTAGGTTTACAGCTGCATTCTGGATTTTTTAAGCTTCCAAAAAGACAACGCACATTTACCAAGCTCCTTTCATATGTCAGGATCTTAATATAATACATCTCATACGTGCCTTGTGACAGAAGGTATATATTATATCCCAAACACTGATGGGAAAACAAACCTTAACTTAACCAACTTATAGACAAACAAATGGTTAAGTGGTAAGAACTAGGACTCTAAGCAACTGTGATACTAACCATTTCACATGGTTTCCTAGAGAGGTGTTTCCCAAAGTATATTTCAAGAAATCACTTATCTTGAATGCGTGCTAAAAATGCAGAAAGGGCTACCACTCTGCACTTGCTATACAGGAATCTCTAAGGGTGGGTACAAGAAACCAAATTTTAGCAAGCATTCCAAGTGATTTTGATACTAAGATGTGAAAAACCACTGTCCTAGACAGAATACATGATTTATGAAGTCACATAAAGAAAATAAGTATTATCTTACATTTCTTCCTATAACTTGGGTCAAACTTTCTCAGCTTCCTTTATGGGCTCCTCTACCTTTTCCTGTTTCTTAAACAGCCATG